TTTTTATTTTAATAAAAAGGGAAAATAAAAAAAAAAGGAAATACCCACCAATACAGATCAGCCCTGTAGGGTCCAGCTTGCTGCCAGATGAACACTCACAGTGGAATGATCCAAGGTTGTTCCTGCAGGCACCATTGGCACATGGGCTGCTTTCACATTCATTTATATCTGTAATCCAGAAACAAAAGGTACTATTAGACCTACAACTTGCTTCTGGGAAGTATGATGCACTATAAATGCTGTTGTGGACTGTGAAGGGCCAGGACTGCCTGGAATATTTGCCCTCCCTACTCTTCCCAACAAGGCATTCAAAAGATGCAGGGCACAAAAGTGCCATTATTTTGGAAGTGTTAATTAAATGGCCCCTTTTTGTCAGGACAGTTAATTTCCAACACCATGGACCATAAAGTTTTCCAGCATCGATTACAAACATCCCAGGAGAAAACAAAACTCGTTTTTCACAGAATGCAAATGCACTCCCAGCCACACCATGCAGAGCACAAACAAAGCCCTTATTGTTTCTGTCATTTATGGCTCCCTGAGAAGAATTAGGAAAACACTGTCAGAAGCAAAACATCACAATACTGGCTGCAATTCTCCAGTCATGGAAATGCTGAAGAAATAAGAGTTGYAATACTGGAATACTGTAAATGGTGCTTCTCGCTAGCCACTAAATCCTGGTTATCATCCCTGTGAGGTTTTTAAACCTCTTCACACACATGAATAGGACCCCTGCAGACAGCATTATCTGATGATTTTTTAAAAAAGTCAAATCAGTTTTAAGACAAAAACAACATTAACAAATTCTCGCCACAAGGAATTGCTGATGCATATCCACCATGTATTCCTGAACCTAATTAATTTCATTTTTTTATATGTGTCCTGAGTTAAGCTGTACATTCTAATCCAACCAGTTCCCTTTGGCAGGCCAGAAGTAAAAAATGTTTAGTGCTTGCTTAGGTTTTGCTAGCAGTGCTTGAGGAGTATCTTGTAATATCTGTAAATTAAACCAGTTTAATTTAAATTAATTATAACAATGCAGTAGCTAGCTAAACGCTGGAGATAGTAATAGCATCAGGAGATTATTTTCAAGACAAATTGAAGTGTCTTCCTTATTTTTTTAAGCTTTCTAAGGGATACCATTTGCTATTTTGGTATGTTATGATGCATCAAGCCCTTGTTTCACATTCATGTCATAGAGATGTGAATCACAGGAAGGAATAGATATTTAAATATATATAATTTAATGATATGCAGGTATTACAAAAATAAAATAAAATAAAATTTAGTGAAAAAAGTGCCTAGAAATCAAAAAAGTGCCTAGAAATCAAGAAACTTGGCAACTGTGATGTCTCCCTTCATGCCAAAAGAAGCATTTAACTTAAAAGCCAGCTTTCACAGATCCTTTACGTAATGGACTTAACCTACAAAGAGCAAACAGGACTCATCTTTGACTGTCAGCAACAACAGAGCTTTGTGTTTCTGAAGCCTACTTTTAAACTGTGGCCTATTTTACAGATTAACCACACAAAGATGCAGAGATATAAAATCTAYGAGGCTTTATCAGGTCAGGACAATGTGCCTCGTTGTTAGCTCTGGCAGAATAAACTCTAAGCCTGTATCCAAGCTGGCAATCCAGAGTCCACACCAGCAATTATCTCCTCTGCACCAAGGCCTTCTCCTCCCTATGAATTTATTTCATACTCTCTTACTTGTCACTAAGAAAAATTAAGTTTTAATTACCCAGGGAATGCTCCCTGCTTTCCATTCGCTCCCCAGGAATCAACATTTGGAACTGAAGAGTGGCCTCTGCTGCTTTTGCAGAGAAACCAAATGGCTCTTAAAATCGGAAACAAATCACACTGACACAAATAAGTAATCTTAGGTGTGCACTTTATGTGAAAAAAGTGAGACAAAAATTGAAAAGACAAGCCAAACTAACAAAATTGAAGTGATGCATTCTCTGTCCAATCAATCATGAGCATTCTTCCYTTCTATTACTAAGATGCTACTTCAGAAAGTTTATGAGGGACCGGGCATCATCTGTGAAGGTTTTTAAARCTGAAAATGGGTGGTTTTCATGTGAAGTGTCACATTGTTTAAACAGCTGGCATCTCGACCACACACAGGTTTGCAGACACAACCGATGTGCAAGACAAAGCCCTATAAAAGTATTTTCATATATGTTTTAAAAAAAGAAAGGCAGACAGCTGCCACTATCTAAAACATCACTTCAACCTTATTTAGAATATTAAGATGCATGGAATTTAAATTGCTTCACATTTATAGGGGTAATAAAAGATTATTATGCCTGTCTTTAGTTCTCCCTGGCATTTACCATGTTAGGATTACAACCAACTTTCTTCTAAGAAAAGGCATCTTTTATTTTGGATTTTCAGACGTTATTCCCAAATCTAACAAAAAATAATGGAAGGCYGCAACTGGAAGTCAATGTTGCCAAAACTGCAAACAAAGACAGGAAAAAGTGGAGAGGGGGGGCCAAAACTACTAAAGTTCAACACCTTTTGAAAAGCAGAGGCTGCTCCCCTTGGTTCCATAGGCCCTTCTGCATTTGATGTCCTTTAGCATTATGCTAARAACTAAAAATAAAGAAACAAAAACCCCAAACCCAATGATTCTGGGTAGTAATAGGCTGATAAGAGTGCATTGACTACATTCCAGAACCACCATCCAGGAAAAAAAAAAGATTAAAAGATGGTATTAGATGCACTTCAGCATTCATGCACCACTGAATCAAGTGAAAAACTATCACATGCACAATGGAAAGAAACTTCAAAAATTGTTTCCATATACCTTCTCATAATAGTACTAAATGGCAATTTTTGAAAGAGTAAGCAAGAAAAAAAATCGATCTTAACACTATTATGTATTTTAAAACAAAGAACAGTATGCATGAAGATATTTACTGAGGTATATTTTAAAAACTTTTTTCTCTTAAGTGAAGCAAGTGTACMTTGTAAACGTCAGAGAAACAAAAAATTGAAACAGTCCACTGTACATTCCTGGAAATGAACTTCAAAGCACATCTGGTTTACATTTAACTAGTTATGTCACTGGAAACACAAACTAAACCATGGAGCTTGTTGTAAAAATCTCAACTTCCACAGACCCTGGAGTCACACACAAGTCTCCTACTCCCTGCAACAAACTGATAAAAAAAATTCAACTGAACTACAAATAAAAACAGAGAAGGGTTTTGTTGTTTCTTCAGAATTGTTGGTGAGAGTCATATTAAAAATATATTGGTAATAAGCATCAGAGCATTTTCAGTGCTCAACACAGAGCTCCCTACTACAGCAGGTTTTTACAACCAGTGAACTTGTAACTCCGAAACRAATTACGAGAAACAGGATTTGGGCAGAAAGAGAATAATTTCTTTCTCTGCTGCCAACCCAACGTTACTGCTGCCTACTTAATGTGAGTAAAAACACAGCACATTTAATAGGTTTTACAGACACTTTTACACAAAACCCCTCCTGAGTAGCTTTTTTACCTTACTGGCCAAATTTAGACAACAATCTAACGATGAGATTAAAGATGTAAGAATATTAACAGTATTATAACCATTAAGAAATAAATCTAATTTTACTGTTTGAAAACGTAGATACATTTTATTTCAACATGATTGGCTAGGTTGTCTGCATTCTGGCTTCTCATCCATCTAGCTTTTGGTCAGTGTTTTAAAATATTGAAGAAATATAATTTCTTTTGCATAGAAGGGGTGATGATATTTTCTACAGAACATGTGAATGATTTGATATTGCCAGAATTTAAAACATTTCCACTTTCCTTTCTAGATGTTTGCTTTGCTGTATGGCAGCAACTTCTGCCTGATCAATAATAACAAGCAGCTGAGGACAGTGATACCTTCCACCTCTTCAGAAAAATCAAGATGATCACATGGTTCACGTAACAAGTCTTTTGCAGCAAAAAATTACAGTTTTCCCATCACTCACTAAAATGCAAAACTGTGCACTAAAAAAATTTTCTAATGATCACAAATACTGAGATTTGCAAACTCTGAACCAAGCAAAAAATAAAGAAGACCAGCAAAATTCTACTACTAGTACTACTACTGCTACTATTATTACTACTTCTAATTCTTTCTAATTCTACTAAACTCCTACTCCAAATACTAATTAAGAGTTGGCTCATAAGCTAATGCTTCCAATTTTAATTTTTTAAGTATATATTTCTTTTTCCTTTTTTTTTTTTTTTTTTTTTTTTTTTTTTTTTTTGTTGCTTTAACATCTGGGTTAAACAGTAACATCAGAAAGCAATTTTGATTGCTTGTAAAAATAAAGGACAATTTTCACATTAGTGGGCAGTAATGTCCTGATCCTGGAATGCATCACAGGTAACAGGATTTAATCTAGAATTAACTATCACCACAGAGTGAAGTGAGAGAAGAATAAGAAAAAAGAGATTGTTATCAAAATACATGCATTTCCCTAAATGACAGACAGGGTATTCCTGCTACATGATCAAAGGCAAGAGCATATTACGTTCTATTGTAGTTCAACATGTTGTAGCTCAGGAAAACATTTGAATATAAAAATGAAATTATTACTTCAAAAGAAATTCAACAGCAAATACCCAACACACTGAAAAGCAGAGAWATTACAAGAGGAATGTGAAGGTTTATGCAGTATCACAGTTCTCTCTTTTCCTCTGGTTTCTGCCATCAGTCCTGTGATAGTTTTGCTTTGACGCTGACACAAGAAACAATGAACCTGACACAAATRGCAGGGTTCTCACCTTCACAGGTGTCTGTCTCTGAGCTGAACAGGTAACCCTTGGGGCAGGAGCAGCTGTAGCTGCCTGGGGTGTTCCGGCAGAGCCCGTTGTCACACAGCAGCCCGTTCATGGAGCACTCATCGATGTCTGCAGGGACAGGAGTCACACCAGGGGCAGGAGTCACATTGTGAGCAAAAATGACAGCTCTTAATTTCAAAGCTCTAAATAATTTTCAGGTTTTTATTGCAAAAATTTCACTTCTACCTTTTGTTGGGTTTTTTCCCACTAGCAAGCTCTAAAAATAGTTCATGGTTAGTCTTAAAAGAATACTTGTGTTTTCCAGCAATGACCTTGAGATCTCTGTCAGTTGTATGACTACACCATATAAATTCACGAAGRTCTATTTGCTTTGAAAACAGTATCTGAATTATTTTTTTTTAAAGCACACAAACATCAATGTGTTAATTCTTGTTCTGTTTTCTAGGCAAACATTTGTTTTTGTTATCCATGAAGTGGATTTAAATCTATCCTGTACAGTTGGTGTTTGGCTGCAATCTCAAGAGTAGGCATGTACCTGTATTTAATAACCACTGTATTTTAAAAGAAAAATCTTTGATTAAGATCAGGATATCGAGCACACTGACTAGAAAGATCCCATATATTAGAATAATTACCTGAACGCTTCTTAAACTAACTAAAAATATTTCTAATAAAAAGTAATGTTTCTTTCTCATTGCCCTATTATTATTCTATGAAAGGAAAAAAATAYATAATTTTAGGCCCTTTTCTCTGGTGCCCAATTATATGTCATAATAATMTGAGTTTATAGAAGAATATTTATGGGACGCGTCATGACAAACCTGGCACTGCATCTTCTTAAATGACTGCTTGAGTTCCCAAACCTAATGCTACAACTGAAATCTGAAGTCAAATCGATTTTTAGGAAGCTTTAAAGTTTAAAATTATAGAAAGAAAGTGAGAATGCAATGTAACTACAATTCAAGAATTGTCATTTCCCCAACTACTTTAGATTTTCCAAACTCTGCTTTTGAATTCATCCAGATTCAGACAATAAAGCCTGAATTTCCTCTGATGATGAATCCAAGATTTAAGTTTGGCAGCCATAAATTAAAAAAAAAAAAAGCTCTGTCCTTAACCTAACTCATCTGATTTCAAACAAGGAAAGGAGGATTGATTTGTAAATTGACATTTTCAAGGGCAATTCTGAGCTTTATCAGAAGGCCTTTAACCCAAACTGTGCAGCATGATAAGTGCATTATTTCCTTAGAATCTCAGAGTAATTTCAGATTTGGACTCTAATCTGTGGTGATATGCTCTGCAAAAACACASAACAATATAGCTCATTTCCTAAACCCACTGAGACCTGACAAAAATACTGCCTGCATTCTGACTGATGACCACTTTTATTTCCAGGCAGCTCATAATCTATATCATTAATTAAAACATTTCAACCTTTTATCTGAGTGTTCATACTTAAATTCTTTTATGGAAAAGTTTTATCTAAAAATAAACACACCCGCACATTCTGTAAGCTTTATCTTTATTTAAGTAAACACATAGATTATACTAACACTTACCTAATCCCRAGTGTAACTAGATAAATAAAATCCCTTCCCATAAAATCCACTTGGAAAACAAATACTATATGAAGCATTAAAAAAACCAAGAAATTAATAGTTTTCTGGAGCAGTGCCTTTCCTGCCAAAAGGTCATATTTAGGGCTTTAGGAAGTAACTAGCAGTAAAATTCCTTTATTCAAGCAGATGAAAGGAAACACTTTCCTTACACTGTGTTTGCTTTGCGTCACCAGGAAGGAATGTTTGATATGAAAACTACACCATAGATACATAGACCAGGTTTTCCCCACCAAAAGTTGTGGAGTGTTTTAGAGCACAAACAGCAGTGACAGGTAGTAAAACTTCAGGTACAGAGAGCAGTAATTCCCCAAAATAAACACAGTACTGAGAGACAGTTCTTGAGACATCCTGATGGTTTCAGAGATATTTCCATTAGCTTTTAATTTAAATGAGCTTCACTTTTCTGCTTAACCTGTTTAAAATTACAAGGCTATAAACAAAATTACTGTACAATATACTTCTGGTATAATACTTTTTTTTTGGAGGTGAGAATTCCCAAAAGAAAAAAACAAAAAAAACCCACCCACTGGATTTCATGCATGATCACAAATAATAAAATCAATTAGAGTGAAACATTCAGTTTTACCTCCTGCTTACACTTCCCAAACAGCAATACTCACCCACCAAATGACAGGAAAACAGACAGAATAATGACTATGAAATGATCMAGAAAAGCATAATTCCAGATTTTCTGCATTTTCATTGTAGCTTGAAGATATCTTCTAATCTAAATTYGGTCAAGTCAAATTAGCATCAGTGCAGTGATAAATAATCCAGCCACTATGAAAACAACAAACAACTCACCCACACAGTTGGTTCCAGCAAGATCAGGCTCATAGCCGCTGTTGCAGTTACAACGATAGCTGCCACGCAGGTTCTCACAAATCCCGTTGGAGCAAATATCGGGATCCAAAGCACACTCATTGATGTCTGYATTGGCACAGTAACAGAAGACAATCAGGCACTGAAAGGTCCAACAAACCTGCTCCTGTGGTAGGTGTGGGCAGCGTAGGTGTGGAGGCTGTCATTCGGAGTCAAGGGACAGCACAGGTGGACMCAGAAGGCTGAAAGAAGTCATTATTCTCCTTTATTTGACACTGGAAGGCAAACCTGGAATACTGTGTCCAGCTGTGGGCCTCTTTTCGTGTCCCAATCCTCAAGAAGCCTGTGCCACCCATGGCACTCCTGGCCAAACTCAGTCCCAGTATGCCCTGGCTTTCCCAATCCCATGCCTACACATCTGGGCAGCTTACCTGTATTCCTCACAGGAATCTACCATMGTTCCACTGATGGTGAATTTCCTTCTCACCCTCCACTTTAACCAGGATGTCCTTACCCAGCCAAGCTCTTTGCCTTTCTTGCCTAATTTTTGGCACGTGTGAGCAGAGAGCTCTTGTGATCTCAGGGAACATCCTGCCCTGCTCCTTTAACCCAGAGGGCAGCTTCCCAGGGAATCCCATTCACTGATGCYTTAAACAGCTGGAAGTTCATGCTCATAAAAGTCGGGGTGCCAGCTTTACTCTGCACCTGGCCCACACCCCTCAGGAGCACCAATTCCACCAGGGCATGACCACTACTGCCCAGGCTGCCATCAATCTTGGCATCACTAATTAGCTCATCTGTGCTGATAATTAATGGGCCCAGTAATGCCTCTGCCCTAGTTACAATATCACCTGGATTAATAAATTGTTCCCTCAGTGTGCTCCAAAGGGCTCTTGGACTACACAGAGCTCAGTGTCAAAGTGACTAAATTCCCTCCGCAAAGTCAGTGGCTGAGGTGTGAGAAGAGGCTGAAGTGACTGTATTTGTTCAGCTGAAAAGAGGGAATATCAGAGGGATCTCAAACAGCAGCTCCCTGATGTTAATAGCTGCTTACAGAGAAGATGGAGCCAGGCTSCTCTTTGAGGTGCACAGTGACTTGCACTTGCAAGGTACAACAGTGGAAATTTAAATTACACACCAGGAAAACTATTCTTCACCACAAACGTGGCTAAGCACCAAAGCAAGCTGCCCAAGGGGCCTATGGGAGCTCCATCCTTGAAAACTTTACMAATTCCATCAGAAAAGGCTTTGAGGAATGATTCAGCTTTCAACTCTGAGCAGCAGGTTAGGTTGGATGACCTCCAGATATCCTTTCCCACCTAAACTGACAGGGTACTATGTGTTTGTAAGAAAAAACTTGATGCAACATACTAGACTATGCACTCAGTGCCTGTGGTTTAGGGATCTAGGTAAGAAGTTATAAATTACTAGGTGACATGATTTTGCCTAATACAGGTGTAATGCACAGGTCAAAACTACAGCATATTCAGTGCTATAAGAACTTGTTGGAAATTTAGAATTTTTCTCAGACAGAACAAGATGATGGATAAGTTATATTCCCTGAATTTACAGTCCCATATAAAATTTCTGCTGTAGCCGGAAAATTCCAAAATATTCATATGAACTGTAAGAACAGGAACAGACTAATTTTGATACTTTTTGCCTCTGAGGAAAAGAGGGTTTTTACTATTTTCCTCCTTCCTATATGGTAAAGCTAATTATTTTAAATAGTGCCTTTCCCAAACCCTGGAAAGAACAGAAGGGGTGCTGGCCTAACTCTGACTTCATGAAAGGCTTGTTTTAATACTTGCAGGGTTCAACTTTTCATAAAGAACATTTCCTCTTTAATYAGAGTGCAGTTTAGGTACTGATTTACATTTAATCAGAAATGCATTTGGAAAAAAACACGTTATCCCTGGATAAAACCCAATSCTATGAGACAGCTGTAAAATTTCCTAAGACAATACGATTTAGCGTAATACTTGAGATTTATGTTTTCTTCAGAGCAAAATGTATTCTCTAGCTTACTAGACATGTTTGAATCCTGGGGATAAGCACACAAGCAGTAACAGGAGCAGCAGCATGAAAATTGGTTGCAATGCTGCTGTACAAGACGCACAGAGAATCCTGTGTTCCCTCTAGAAACCTGAACAAAGAAGGACTTTAGCTGGAATATGAACCCAAAATCTTTATCATGAATTTGGTAGAGAGCACACTTGTTTTTATGTTTTATTGAGAAATGGTATTTTTTCATGTATCCAAAAGGACACATGACCCCCTAGGAGACTGCATGCAAATGATGGGCTTGTATAACAATATTTCTGAATACTGACATTTTTTCTTCATGAAATTTAGAGGCTCTTCAATGGAAATAAATGAAAAATAAACAATTTATAAATTCTATGGATTTTAAATTGCTCGTAAGCGTGCAACATGTCAGGCACTGAAAAAAAAAATATGCAGATACTTACAGTACCCAACAAAAGAAGAATTTATTATAGTACTGGTTTTAAAAACTACTTAGGCTAACACTAAATATGATGGGAGCTCTCATTCTGCTGCAACTGAACAGAATAGGAGCTTTAATGCTGACTCGGATAATTATTAACACATCAGACAAATACCTTGCAGTAAATTTATGTTCTTGTGTTCCCCTATTCCTTCTTCAACACATTTCACGTATCTGGCAGCTGCAGCATGTCCTACTTCAGSCCTGGCTCAGCCATTATTTTTTTTAAATCCCCGTCTCTGTGGTACAAYAAAATGGATCTGGAGCTCTACAGTATCCAGTACTAAATGCAAGTGGTCACTTTCAGGACTGTTTTTCATAAGGATATGTTTTTTTTCAGAGAGTTCCCTTCAATTTTTAAGGCTACAGAGAAACAATCYATCCATGGAAATGATCTATAAGCGAACACTGGATCTGGAGTGAAAAACTGCTCTATTTCTATCCCAGCTGTCCGAAAATCAACTGCAAATACAAGTGACCCTTGTCACTCCCCAAATGAGGGAGAGCTGTCTTACGCCTAATCTCTAATCTCCAGAAAAAAAAAAAAAAAAATATAGGTCAGAACGTTAAACAGATTACTTTGTTTTCTTGATAGGGTCAGGCAAAATCTACTGTTGTAGAGAATTAATTCCAGCCTTTTCTTTAGACAACATTCAAATACTGTACTTTGAGACTAAAAATATTAAAACCAACATATTGAGGTAAAAAATGCCATTTTAATATGTTATCAAAAAAATATGATTCTGGGTATCTTTTTTTAACTTTTAATCATATATATTAAATAAAACGTGCAACRTACCTCTTCCATCAACAGTGATACCTATTCCACTGCTACACAGGCCATGGAACTCAGCTGCTCAATTGARGCAGAGATGTTGGAGAAAAGAAAATGTTATTTCCAGTATTACATCTTCTTTCATCTGAAACTAAATCAACCTGATTTTTTAAAAAATAATTTTTCTACAATGTAAGTAATGAAATACTATGTTCACATGACATAACCATTTGTAGATAATTTAGTTAAATCTGTCAAGTAGCACTCCATCCTGAACTTTCATATAAATACCAAACCAAAATTAGATGACCAGARTTAAGTATTTAGGTGATTTCTTTACAGTCTTGACACTTCTGTCCKCTCAGGTTATTGCTTTCAATCATTAAGTCAGTTTTACTTGGTTTTTTTTCTGAATTGTTTTCTACTGCTTCAGAAAACAACACTGAAAGGAAATTCAATCCAAGATGCATCATCTCAGCTCTGAAATCAAGATAATTTTTTAAATCAATCCCTGCACTTACTTGAAGAATTGATTTTATAAAATCAAGTTAAGATTTCTACAAAGAATATGGGCTGCTCTTTTAAACCCAGCTGACTGGACCAGGAAATTTAAAGATTCATTGKAGAACTCTGCTTATTCCCTTTCAAGCATTATTGCTGATAGCAAATACTTAATTCAGGAACCTAGCTTCACCCATGTGCGCCCTATTCACTTTTCTTTAAGGAACAAAATAAATCAACATGATCTCAACAAGATTTTTTTTTAAGTCTGTGTGTTCACTGTAGTACTCAAAGAAACACAAAATTTCACCTGAGTTTTTAGCAGGGCAGGGATGACACGGCTCTCCAAAACCATAGTCAGGATTGGCACAGCAGCATTCAGATTTTGTCACAGCACCAGGGAAGGGACGGACACACAGCCCTTTCCTGATGCCCCCATAGCATGTGCTACGCACATGAGTATCTAAAAAGAAAGGATAATAAAAGAAATAATTATTTCCTTAGGCTGAGAGTGAAATGTATGCATACTATCCTAACAAAAGCTAAAACCACTTTTTTGGTCAACAAAAAGGTCACACTGGCTACATCTGCACTGCCTTAATAATACTGATGGCAGCAAGGCCAAATCTCAACATGCTTACCACCTCTTGGAACTTTCTCCAGAGCACTTTAAAATCAACTAAACCAGCATTTTGTGAGTAAATTCAAAAGCATTCCAGAGGACCCAGCAAAGAAGACCCACACCCAAAGCAGCTCTGTAAATCCATCAACACATATCCCAGTAAGAAATGGAGAATGGTTTGCATCACCATGTGGTGGCTGATTTTTCCCTTTGAGAAGTACCACAGGCATCTCTTATTTACTTCTAAAATAATCCTTCAGATAGGAAAACTCACCAGCAGTCCAGGGCTGGCAAAATGGGAGAATACCTGCTGCTGAAAGAATGAGCCTATCACGGTCTCCAGCTGTATTTGCAAAATTATGAACAGAAATGCAATTTTAGCAGATTGTTCAGCATTTACGAGACTGTGAACTGGCACCAGTGCTGGATTAGCACACCAAAGAGGCCCCAAAAATCTAGCTGGGAACATCAATTTAACAAATCTTGCATGCTACCAGGCAGTGAGGAAAGCAACACAACTGCCCAGAGTGTAAGAAAATTCTGGGCATTTATGATCTAAAACCCACTCTGGAAGTTACAGCGCCATCCTTGGTGAGAGGGCTGGAAATGATGGCTCAGATAAACCACCACTTACCATACCAATAAAACACGTAATACCTGGAAGGTCTTTAACCCCAAAAATTATGCCAAAAAAAGACAGCAGAAAAATCACACAGGTCAACCATATACCTGTAGGACTCATCATGTGCATATTGCCTATCTTACAACTGATTTAGTCACATAAATAAATTTCTAAATCAATTTCACAGCCTTGGCCAGTAAGATGTAATAAGAAAATACCTTCCAAGGAAGACCCTCCTTACCTCTACAGGAATAATAATCTGTTACACTTACCCAAGAACTACGGGAACAGTCTCCAAGACTGCTTTTTTGTGCCTTTTGTTTTGGGCTTTTGTTGTTCTTCTTGGTTTTTGGTCTTTACAGAGTTCAATGCCCTTTTCATTTCCATGTTTGCTTATAGGATAATGTCAGAGATCTTTCAAAAAGCATGTGATTAGACAGCCCTCTTAAAAAGGTGTAGCTGAGAATTGCAAGATACAGATGGAGAAAACAAGCTTTGTTTTTCAGTCCTGTAATTCTACAGACACTGCCAGAGCCACAGAAATACTCTTTGTTTCAGGTATCTTTCTGGGCCAGGACAAAACACAGCTTTAATTTATGCTCCTTGTCAGTCCCCCAGTAAAACTGCCATACATTGTGGCCTGGATATGAGCCTGAGAGGACTCAGAAACTGAAATGTGTTTGAGGCAATCCAGACGGTTACTCGCTTGAAGTACAAACCCAAAACAACAAAGGAAAGTCGCACAAAAAGTTTTACAGCGATGTTGAATATCCAGCGCCAATCCAAATAAGAACAGCAATTCCTGATGTGTTCTGTCAGCTCTTTTAGCGTTGTAAGCTGGCTCCTGTATAACAGCACTGCCTGCACACAAAGGTTTTCTCTTGCTTTTGGTATCCCATGGAACAGACAGTTCTGGAGCACAGCTAAATTTGTCCTAGATTTCAGGATTTTTTCCTTGCCAAGAATATAGGTGAAGCCAGTACAGTTTGCTTGCACTTGACATCAGGAAAAGATTATGGTGCTTGAAAACAGTCAAGGACTTCTGCACGAGAAATGTCTGTTTGTGTACTCTGCAAAATAATCAGTGTCATCACATCCTTTCCCCCCACCTCAGACAAGTCCAGCTGCCACTCTGACAAGCTCTGCCATGGACAAAGGGGCTKCAATCACTGTCCTGTCACAGAAGGGGAGGCTTCCCCCTAGTTATGTGTCTGTGAGGGGATAGTGAAGCAAAACAAGGGAAGGAAACAACACCAAGGGAAACTGTAGAGGGACAGAAGACTGGAAAATGTGAAAGAAATGCTCGGGAGGAAGGTCTTCAAAGATGTGGAGTCTGGGASGCAGCTGGAGGAAGCTACAGATGTACTGAGCAAAAGAGAGCACTTCAACACACCTCAGTGCTTTCACAGAAGTGGCACGGAAAACTTGAGGACAATTCAGTTCCAGGAAAACAGTCTGCTCTACAGAGTCAGTGCTTCACAMGGGCTGTGAAGGATGAAGAACCAAGCTGGCTGCCCCAGAAGCAAAACAGCAATGGTGTAACAGGGAGAATGCCCCGCTTGGGCTGTGCTGCCTGCACCAGTAAGAAAGAGAAGGACTCCTCTGTGGATGATTTAATCGYTGCAGGTGCCTCACCAAGCTCAGGCTCTCCATTTCACAACAGTTCTGAGTCTGCAGCCTGCTGATGAATCTGTGCAGCTCCCCACATTTAGTTTGATCAGCCCTTGGCTACTCATTTCAGAGCACTGAGAATTTACTTTATGCCCTGGATCAGACACTAACATTGCTATTACTGTAGCCCAGTACCTGTTTTGGGACACTCCACTCTTTTCCAAGGCATACCACCTCCACACTCTTGAATTTTGTGGTGTAGCATTTCATCATCTACAAAAGTTATCGTCACCACACTTGTGGTCAACAGAAGTTCGACCAGCGCTTGACCCACACTCAGAAAAAGTCACTGGAGCCTTAGAAGGTCAAACCATGCTTATGACAGACATTTCCAGATTTGGCTCAGCAAAACCATCAGGGTGAAATAAAGCTTAGATGCTTTGTTCTGGATGACTGTGGCTCTGGGCAGGGATAATCAGAAGAGTCTCAGCAGAGCACAAACACCACTGAGTGAAGCTGCAGCCAGAGCCCAGCACAAGTCCTGAGGTGACAGACACAGACAGGGCCAGCTGAGGAGTCCAAGCATGGAGCTGCAGCTGGAAGTACAGCCAAACCGAAAAAGCCTGCAAATATTCAAACATTGRAAGTTTGGCTCCAAGTATTTATTTAGTTGTTCCATGACTCTCTAACTCTTCCTTTTCCAAGCGTTTGTTCCCCCTTGCTGTACCTTTTTCAAGCTTGTGTAACATTTCGTGATTGACTCAGCCTACTTGTAAATACCAAGTAAAAATKTCTTTCTTTYTTTTTTTTTTTTTTTTYCTATGAATACTCTCACTAGGATCAATCTCATTATTCAGAAGTAGAATGGAGCTCAGAGAAGAGGGAAAGATTGGGACAATGGGTTCTTGGATTTTATACTCCTTGCTAGCTACCTAGCACACTTCTGGGAATGATCTTCGAAGATGCTCAATTTAACTTATTAATTTCCAAACTACAAATAGTGTTCTAGCAGCCAGAATGTCTGAAAAAATATTGTTTAGCTCATGCAATACATGGGAATAGAACAGCCAGACACAGAATTCCTGTAGTTAACACAGCATGTGGAATATATATAAACACACACACACAATGCTAAACAGTGGATTGGCTTGGAAATTCTACTCTGAAAGTCTATTATGTGTGAATATATTTTGTTATGCAATATTTGAAATTTCTTATGCTACTTTATAGCTGGAATAATTACATCATCTTTTTTAATTAATTTTCCAACTCAACTAGGTCATGATTTTTTTGTCCTGTTAAGGATATTTCCTATTGAAAAAGTAAGTATCTATCGTAAATCTTAAAGCTAWGCAACATGTGGAGCTGAACATTTCTAAATAAATGGTGCTCACAGATGACGGCCAGCTTGTGAAGTCTTCAGCTGTTAGAACTGTGGCAACATTAGGTAAATGAAAGCACAGAGAATTGAGCACGGTATTGAGTCTTTGCAGCTGTATCACTGATAGAGGTAAAGATGAGGCCAACTTGGAACACAAAAAAGGTACTGAACAGCCTGTACTCAACTCTGATTTTGTTGGTGTGCCACTGAGCWGTGAAAATGCCAATATTTAAAACAGCACACCAAGCCTTTTCTCACTGTTTTAACTTTTCACTGCTTCTTTCCAAACTTGTAATAAACCAGAAGAMAACAACTCAGCTACCATATAGGAGGGAACACAACTTGCTTTTGTTGGTCCAATCTTTAGTACAGTTTTGCATACTAGAAGATTCATTTATTTATTCAAATTTATTTAAAACAACAAATGTTTGGGTTCCAGTTGAGAGACTGCAAATGTGTTTTAGCTTTTCTTTAACCTATATTTTTAAGCCACTCTCAGTTTTTATCACTCATTTTTTAAACTGAAGTGGTAACAAAAGGGGTTTGTTTGTGCTGGCACTTGATAGTAACACTTGTGCTAGATATTATTTCAAACATTTAGAACTTTTGCACCATCTGAAATATTATTTGAAACGAGCTGGTAACAGCATCATGAAGATTTAGTATGGCCCATCCCCCTGGTGTGGGATACCCTCCAAACTCTGTAATGCAGTGTGTCCTTCCTTTATCTGGAAATATGCAGATAAAATATAAATTTGTCTATCAGCAAAAGCATTCATGGCACTGATTAGTAAATACTATTATTGCAGAGTCTGTGATCACCAACATGCCTGATGATAGACACAAGCATGAGCTGTGAGAGGAGAAATTTAGRGGATATAAAATAGAATTGATGTTCTGACATGTAGAAGGAGAAGGTGGGATCTCCTGTGGATTAAATTCACCTGAGGAACTTTGCAGTGTTGCAACTCAGCACCGTAACTCAGCAATCCTTATAAATATGTATTCCTCTCCACCCTCCATCACCAATCAGCAGAAAACAAGGCATGAACTTCTTCTTGCCCCCCACACTTCTTTAACTCTTCGTCAGCCTGAAAAGCATCCAAGTTTTGTCCCATGAGCTCCCTGAAGTTATATCAGAGCTCCTGAAGGAACTAGGTGAAAAATCTCTTAAATGCCAACCAGTACCATTTGAGAGGGTAAGAGGCTGATTACAAAGCAAAATATTATTTATCATCAGACTAGAAAAGGTATGCCCCAAAACCAAAAAGAGATTCCAGAGAGTAAGCACTACAAGTATAATTTATATAAGTAACAGGTAAACAAGAGGTGGGGCCTCTCCAACTCCACAAAAGAAATTAGGTTTGTCTTTTAACACTAGGATTATGGGATTGTATCTTTTCTATGTGGTTTGATGTCAGCATTATTTGGAAGGAAATAATTTGATGCATTTGATAATTAATTAACCTGATAATTCCACTTGATTTTCAGTGAAGAAAATAAAAAATCCCACTTACCTACGCAAACACGACCATCAACCCCTACAACCAAGCCAGGTGGACAATCACAGCGAAATGAACCTTCAGTGTTTATGCAATGACCATTCATGCAAATTCCTGATGTCTGGCATTCATCAATATCTAACAAGAGGCAAGACAATTCAGCAATTTATTCACTGCTTTTAAGCAGGATTACCGGTAACAGTTTCAGAGGATTATCAAACAACAGCAGATATTAGTACATCCTTGACTTATTTCTRATAAAAATTTAATCTTGGGATAATAAAAATTCAGCTGCACAAACAAACAAAAAACCCCAAAACATGCAGAAGAACTGTAGGATCAAATACTTCATATTCTACATCAAGCAAAATTATTGATAAATTTTCCCTACTGTCCATTCTTATGGTATTATAACTGCTTTAAAGTGTAGCTAAGGAGCACTAAGCACAAAATACCCTTGTGATGGTTCACTTTAATTTCAAAGAACATTTAAGTGGCCATCAATTTCCAAGTAGACCTGAATGTAATTAAGAAAAGCACAACAGAAATGGTTTAACTTCAAATCAGAAGACTAACCATTTAGATGATTTGCTAGAAGTGACTCAAGCCCAAACCTACCTCTATGGGCAGTAACAAGYATCCTCAATTAGTCCGCTGAAACTAAATCAGACTGCATTCTTGAAGTGTTTGATAGAAGTTTGTAGTGACAGCACTTCAAAAAGTTTATAATGCTGTGTGGCCAGTGCAATGACTCAAGAGTTAGGAACTCTGAATTACCAGTAATTAATCTATTATTTACTGATTAAATAGATTTTGCCGTAAAGTAAGGATCTGTTTCTAATCCAGGCAGCTTAAGGAATCCATTGAAACAAGCAGCAAGGTGTGATATGGCATTGAATCAATCCATGTCACCAAAACTCCATTCTCATAGGGATGAAAAGCCATTTTCAATCCATGTTACCCAAGTTTTACACACCAGTACAGTAACGTCCATCTGGAGCCAGAACAAATCCAGGTTTACAGATGCATTTAAAGCTCCCATCTTCATTTATGCACATCCCATTCAAGCACATGTTTGCCATGGCACACTCATCATGGTCTGCAAAACAAAACTGCTTTTAGTTCCTCACCTCATCGAGAAGATGACGTAGTGAAAATAAACAATCAGAATTGGTGTAGCATGTTCCTTCACTTGAAGATTGGTTTTTAATCAGAACTCTGATAAAGTATCTGAAGACTTTTCACTCTATAGACAAAGCAGCAATTTTTTTTCATGTTGTGATCAATTGTGATGCATATTTCAGCAGGCTGTGTATGAAAGAACAGGGTGTGCTTTTCTTTCATATATGAGAAGATGTAAGCTTCCCTCGTCTGAGAAAATTAAGCTTTCTCTTTATTTAGGTGTTCTCCTCAACACAATGCAGCCAGAATTAAAAACAGGTGTATTTCTTCAGCAGTGTTGATGTATTGAGCATTTGCTGTGAAGCTTTATGGAGAGGTGTAGCTTCAAAACCAAGAATTACCTCAAATTTTCTTTGGAATCATACAGTTCTGTACAATGACTATTTGAATGAAGGGGTTTTGGGTTCACATTATTTAAAAAAAAGGCGATGTGTAATGATCCTTACCGTTAGTATAAAGTACAATTTCTAGAACCACCAAGCTATTGCCTGCCCCATTGCTTAGCAGATTCCTTACCCACACAATTTTTTCCATTTGTAGTCAGCTCAAACCCAGCATTGCAAATGCACTGGAAGCTTCCCTCAGTGTTTACACAGCGGCCATTTTTACAAAGAACACCATTCTGAACACACTCATCGATGTCTAAGGGGAAGAAAGAAACAAAACAAAACASAATCCTACACAAATGGAGAACTACCGTAAGATTTAAATTCATTTACGACAATTATTGGCATGTTATTTAAATATTATTCAGAAAAAGAAATCCAAAGTAAGTTAAGAATTTTTTCTCATTGCATCAGGGAAAAATATTATTTTTACAGATAGGTACAACATAYGCTACATTTTGAGATGTTTAGCAATTCCTTCAAGAATACAAAAAAACCTACTCATGCTTTCATTTGCAYGCATATATAAAAAAGCACCTGTCACTCCTTTTKTTTTTTACTTTATTTTTAAGAACTCCTATCTTGGAAATCCACTGGACAGATATTCCACAATATTGGATAAACATTAGAAGACAACAACAAAACAAATGAGGTGGCAGCCCAGAACTAGRATGCCAATTAATTTAACACCGGGATTTACTGAAACTGCACTCCTATTTTTTGAAATTCCAGCAGAGCCTGATGCAAGGGGTCAGGACATGTGCAATGCCAGCAGGCAGGGAGCAGTTTTCTTACCAATGCAGGCTTGCTTGGTAGGAGTTCTCTGGAATCCTGCGTGGCACTTGCAGTAATAGGAACCAGGTGTGTTGACACAGTCCCCGYTGGAGCAGGGGTTTGATGTGCACTCATCAACATCTGCTGGCAGCACAGAGATGCATTACGGATTTCACAAARTCTACAGCATTTTTTTTTAAGTCTGGAAACTTCTAAGTAAAAAAAAAAAAAGGCAACTAACAGCCAAATGCTAAATGCTGAAAGTTGCTCTGGGTGCAGAATCATTGCTTTGCTAAGAACACAGCATCTTAGTTGAGGTAGGCAGGCATTTTTAAGAAGTGAAATGGCTGCATTTTTACTTTTTTACATTTTAACATTTACTACATGATTTGTAAGCATCTTGAGAGACAACAGAAAAGAAGTTCTGTGTGAGGACTTTGAGATCTGACAGTTGCCTGTTGAAAGTGAACAACACTTACTACAAAATAGTTTCATTTAACWCAAAGACCATTTGTGCATCTTTGGGATAAAACCAGTACTAATCAAAACTGGCACTTTAAAATGAGATCAAATCATAGCATTCAAAACTTACTACTATTATATTACAGGTTTATTATAAAAATGTGAGAACAGGCCACACAACAGCAGGAGGAATTCTTCATCAGATCACAATTTGTGCACCACTTCTCAATTATTTATGTCCCATTGAATCCTCGACCCCAGTCTTTGCACTGAGTGACGCCAGACTTAATCCATTATTCACCTTACTGGCCTTTCTAGAGGTTTTTCATGTTTGGGTGCAACCAAACACATTTTAACCAATTTAATTGTTAAGTAACCACTCAAAAACTCTTATTTGACATGTGTCTCTGGAAACTTTAACAGCTTCAAGAACCCTTCCCAAATTTGATGCCCTGTGGCTGCCAATGAGTCAGGTGTGTCTTTGGCTCATGACAGCTATTCCCGGAGCTAAAATGACATTGATTGCTCTCTCCACTGCATTCCTCTGAACCCTCCAAGACCCTTGCCACTGTAATCCAGGGAGCAGAGTGAGTGTATATCCCTCATCTGGGACGGTAGGATTCCTGGCTCAGCCCCTTTTGCAGCTTCTAGAGGATGACCCCAGCAGGATGACCTACTCCCTGGTAGAGCTCAATTTGCAGGTCACAAACCAAATGGATCCCCTTCTTTATCAACGGCTTTTGCTAATTTGACTTTCTCCTCCAGCTATGCTCTTCATTTAATTTACAATGAATTTGTAATGACTCACCCCTTACCAAATCTGGTTCTAGAACTCTTTTTCTAGAATTGGTTTTAGTTCATTACACATTGAAAATAGTGGGGTGGAATTAAATTTAATTATGGAAATTAAACCCATAAGAATACTAGAAAGTGCTGTTCCATAAAGAACTACACTGTAAAAGATGGCAAAAGGTTAGTTTTGTTCTAATTCAATCATAAATAAGACCTCGTATTAAACAGGAATTACTCTGTTAAAGAATACAAAGTTTAAACCAGAACCCACGTACATAAATAACAAAATAATCTGTGTTCACAAAGTCACTGATATAACAGCCTAGTTTACAGGAATCTTGTGCCCATATACAATCTGTGTAAAGAGTTAAATGATAAAGGAAAAGCAAATGGGAGAATCAAATACCTCCCCTCTCCCATAATTAGGTCAATCACATTTGCATATCTGCTGATCCCACCACCACTGCAGTAAAACCACAAGAATGGAATGARATAAAGAAAAGAGGATTTCAGGATGTTAAACACAGAGGTAACTGCAGATTTATATGGCAGTCTGTGCCACCATAGTAGTTCCCTGCTCTCATTTTTCTCTACCTTTCCTGATTGCTGGGATGTGCTTTTTCATGAGGGGGGTGATTCCTGCTGAGAGGTGATTTTCCCTATGGAGGACTGTCCATTACTCCTTCACAACAAAGTCCTCAGCTTCCAACAGAACATCAAACTCTGAATCAAGTCTTGGCAAGAGTTTTTTATCAAGTTTCCTAATTCAAATTACTTTACTGTATATGCATCTTGCTTTAGTATAGGGGAGGCAAGGGGGAACTTATAAATAATAGATACAATCTAAATAATAGATACAATCTATTGTAGTATGTAATCTACAATACTAGACACTCATCTATTTTGTTTAGTTTTCCTGCAGAGAATGACATTTAGGACCTTCTCTATTACATGCTTCAACTTGTTCATCCTCCTTCAAAAAAAAACCCTGTTCGTGCTACAAAGGATCTCTGTAAATTTATAAATTATACAGCAGGAATGCAGAGTTTCTCTACGATACAGCTGACTTAAGCTTAGAAAATCCTTCCAAAGCCATATGCATTACATGATTTCCACATGAAATATGGATCTAAAGATCCTTTACTTTTATAAGCTCTTGATAACTGAGGGAAATGGCGAATGTATGTTAATACAAAGGAGTTGCTGGCTTTGAGTTTGCATTGAAAGCATGCATATTCCAGCAGTATAAACAGGAAACATCTGAGACAGAGATATTTAGCCCATTTGTTCTGTCTCCCAGCATACCCCGTTCAATGTCAAATATTTCTCTTTCAGCACTTGCCCCACACTTATCTCCACTTTTCAGTTTTTCATCTTGTAACAATGGCCAGAACTATCTCAGGCACAGTAGGAAACTTCCAAAACCCCCCTTCAATGAGTCTGGAGATAAATTACAAAATTTTAAATATATTTAAAATATTTGTATTGACAAAACAACTAAACAACTAAAATTCAACACAGCACAACTACAGGTTTGCTGCTCCTTTTAAAGCCCTACAGTTTTACCCAAAATGTTTACAAACAGAAGTGAATAAGGAAAGATAGTAAAATTGAAGCTGTCTATCATTTTGGACAGAAGGACTGACCATTCAGTGTAAGATCACTTAGGATACTCATGGTCCTTGGCCCACCAGGCATGTTCTGTGGTGAGAACAGCCTGATGTAAGTTTAGATCAAAGCACAGGAAGTAACACTACAAGTTTTTGGTTTGGCAGGATTAATCCTGAAATAAAACTTTTCTCCAACTCTATACAAAAATATGTAACCATTTCTGGATCCTGAATGTATTCCTTCGGAAGCAGGGAGACTGAGAAGTACAGAAATAATCCATGTGCCATTAACCTAGCCTATGCATTGAAAACCATTTCCAGTGCCCCAAGACTGTTCTTTCAGTAATAAATATTCAAATTAGATTCAAGCAAGCATTTAAATTCATTTAATATGTATCAGCACACACAGGAAATCCTTGAAGTTAAGTTCCGGCCTACACTTCCAAGGAAACTTTGTGTAATTTACAGCAACTACTATTCAAAAATCCCAAATTCAGTGTGGCACTTCAGATACTCTGGCTACTTCTCTATACTACAATTAAAAAACAACAGTGAAACAAAGCTGAGTTATTTAGAGTCCAAAGAGTTATTTATAATTCATGGAGTTCACTCTCTAATAAAACATTTTATGAATTCAAGCAGCTATTCAAAAGGCAAACCACTAAAGAACTGAAATTAGTAGACTGAGTCATTTCATGAAGGGAAAAAGTAAGCAAAATGATACATAAACTATTTTGAAGCCATTTTGGGAATATTTTCCCATGCTTTCAATGTGGGACAGTAYTGTAACCAGCACTGCATCTTCTGCTTTTATTAAATCGACAGTTTTTTTTTTGTTTTGAGCCAGTCCTTCCAAAATTGTCACTGTTTCAAGTCTACTCTAACATGTTGAGCATTGCAAAGCAAGATTACGTTCCTTAACACTCCTTTTTACTGCGCACATGGCTCTGTGCTAGGGAACAGGTCAATACTCATTTTATAGTGAGGATAAGACAAGGAATAACAGTAGGCTGAWTTTTTTTGCAAAATAGTGTGTTTAAGTTAGACATCGTGAAAACTTTCTGGATATTTGACTATGGGAGCAGTGCAGCTGGAACTGGTGGAATCCCTGCTGAGTTTTCTCAGGATGAGGGTGGTACAGTGGCCAGGAAATGACGAAGATACAACCAAACTCTCTGATGCAAGAGAATGGTAGAGCTAAGCGGGGACTTGCAATCCACAGACACATTACAAATTGGTTCTAAAACCACAGTTTATGTGAGGCAAAACTATTGCTAACAAGGTCTCATGTGGTATTTTCCATTCACAGGTCTCAAATCACCATTTATTATAAAGATTCAGTAAGCAAAGGTTCAATCCAAAACATAATCACAACATGTATTTAGGATCCCATACGTTAATTAGGCTGTATCCTGCATAGGAGATTCTTCTCCACACAACTACCCACCACAAGAACCTCCAAATCTTGTATTTGCCCTAAAATAACTGACGAGTTTTGACACTCCAAGATTGAAGTCCACAGTAATTGAATAAAAGTGCAGAATCCAAAATTCAATTCTTGTTATACAAAGTCAAAATCCTGTATTTTTATATGAAATGGGAATTTAACCAGAAATTAATTAATGCAATTTAAAAATTGTTTGCTATCTTTCAAATTGTCATTAATCCTTATGAGGAGGCAAAACATAAATTCAGTTGTTCATCACCTTGATCATAACAACATCACATCCCAAAAGTGGAACTACGYGAGCATAACAAGAGAACACAAAGCAAAACTTTACTGAATGTGACAAAAATGTGCAATAGCCATCAAGAACAAGAACAGGAATACTCAATTCTAATACTTGCAATTAAAGTTGGTTTTTTTTTGTAAGAAAACAAATGGCTCTCAGAGAAAACTGAAATAATTCTTGAGCAACTAATACCACGTTCTTTGCAATCTCTTTCCAAAGAGCAGTATCATTACAATTAACATGATTTCCTTTTTTAAAAAATTATTTTAAGCAAAAAAAAATTAGAGTGATGGATTGTGAACTGTGCACTCACCAATACAGTCCCCATTTGCATCCTGCTTATATCCCATGTTGCATTCACATCTGTAACTAGAGGGGGTTGGAATACAACGTCCATTCAGACAAAGGTTGGGATGGTGTTTGCAGTTGTCTGTTGTCTGATTGAGTATCGCTAATGGCAAAAAGACAGAACATGAGAGAAATATTCAAGTTTTCAAATGGAATTAAATATGAATATCGTACTTGGCTTCAGAAAGGATGTTATCAGGTGCACAATTATATCCACGGATTTTTTTTTCCAAGCACTATCTGCTGACATGACAGTAAATTAACCACAACAAACATCTCTCAAATAAAAAAAAAAAWTTAGATAAACAGTCTTAAATGTGATTTACCATTTCCGTGTATAGCCTGATGAGACTGTCAGTGAACTCAAAGATAAACCACAATCTGTGTGAAAGTCAAAGCAATTTTTCATGTACCTGCCTTAATAACATCCTTTGAATTTTATGATTTCTGTGGATGTGATGCCAGAGATGTGTTTACACATGTCATAAGCAATGTTTACATCCACGAGACTTGTGCCAGAAAATTATTCACCTTGGGCTTTCAGCCAAGGCAGTGTTTCTGCAGAATAAGTAGGCTTTACAGTTGGAAGCGAAAAAACAGAGAACAGTTTATTTTAAACGCTGGTGTTTTTTTTGAAAACACTTAGAAATCTGGAGTTCTATAAGCACTGACAAAGACACCTCGTCAGGGATAACAGATGCTCAGGGTACTGTAACTGAAGTCAAGCAAAAAACCTCTATACCTGAACTTTTTCTGAAAAGGTCTCCAAGACTTCCTAATGTATCAGCTGAGGTGTCATGTGTGCTTGAATGACAAACTAATTTTTAAGTATTAAGAACATTATATCATATCCACACTAAGCAAAAAAAATACAGGAAAAATAGAAAAAAAAAAAAAAAAAAAAAAAAAAAAAAAAAAAAAAAAAAAAAAAAAAAAAAAAAAAAAAAAAAAAAAGGGAAAAAAGTCAGGAAGCAAGCACTTACTTAGCCCTGTAATGATTGGGCCACTTCCAGCGGGACTCTGACCACCTGTTCCTGCTCCCGTTCCACCCACGGCCGGGGAGAAGCCGTTGCTTCCTGGGATGGGAATGAACCCAGCACCTCTGGGCCCGAAGCCGTTGCCATTGCCCCCGGGAAGGAACGTGCTCCCTCCCGTCCCAGCGCGCCGGGAGCCGCCTCGGGCAGCAGCACCGTCCACACACAGCCTGCGGTGTTCATCTGCCACACAGAAGCATAAACCAGGTCAGCCTTGCCAAGCCAGCTCCTAAGGAAAGTACATCTCTTTGGGTGCTACAGAAACCAGAGGAGAAACTTCTTATTCCCCTTATGTTGTGTACTCCCCTCTGCCACTGCAAACCTCAGGAAGGTCCCTTGATTGTGACAGGTATTGCTTGAGACAGGACACTAGAAATAATAAAAAGGAATGCTGTAAATCACTGTTCAACTGTTTGTTGAAACCTTCTTTTTGATGGTGTTGGCAGCAGCACTGCAACTCCCTGGTCACTCGGACATGTTGATAAAGAAAATAACCTTTCACTGGGGATGTGGATTATTGCTCTCTTGAACAGAGCTGGAAGAATAACTTARATACTGGTGCATTTTAGTTCAAATTAACCCAAAATGCAACAGAACAAGGGAGCAGCTGTTCCTTTAAAGCAAAATTAACTAGGGACCCTAAGAGTCATTTCTTCTTTGAACCTGACCACAAAATCATTTCCCATTTTCCCAAAACTATTTCCGAAGTTAACAAAAGGATATTAAAGACACAATTCCAAACAACTATGAACCGAAAAAAAATTGGTTAACAGATGGTAATATCAGTATTAAAAACACAGCTATGAATAATAATACAACTCATGACCTTCTTTTTATCCATTTAACCTACATTTTAAAGCAGTTTAAAACATTCCAGTGACCTCCATCCAAAGCAGAACGGACAGCAAGAAGGAGAAAACAAACCAGCCGTGCAACAAGTCACTCACCAGATCCTCTGGCAGGACACACCTCTGGGACAGAGCCAGTGGCCCAGCACTGGCCAGACTCACAGCAGCACTGCCTCTTGGAGAACCTCCCGGGCAGCTCCTGGGCGCAGCGGCCACTCACTACGCTGGAGAAACACGTGCCTGCTCTCTGATCTGGCAGTTAATTTGAAAACAAAGACTAAAAATAGTGACATACGCTCTCAGAGTTACCTTCCCTTTTTGCCTGATGTCAGGACTAAAATGTTTTATGAATTGTATTACAGAAAAAAAACAAAAAACCAACAAACCCAAACAAAAACCTGCACAACATGTAAATTGCACCAGTAATTATCACATATTCACACTGGATTTACTCCAGGGTCACACAGCTGCAGTGGCATTATCTTGCCTCAATACACCACGCAATCTTAGGCTGCTCAACCTAACAGGAAATATGGGTGATACAAAAGATAAAAAGCAATACAAACTAGAAACATATACAAAACACTATTATTTTATATAAATACCCTATTACATAATTTACTGTTAATTTATCAGAATGGTTTATATCACACACTTGACACGTACAGCTCTATATAAGAATTACCACATGGATAAATAAGCATTGGGGATTTTTGTAATGTAGGAATAGCTATTAAATAAATTGTCCTGTAAAAGCTGTAATCTGTTGAAAGTACTTGGTTTGCTTCATTATCTGTTTCTGACACATCAGTGGCACATCAGCATATGCTGCTTAATGGCTTTTGAATTAATATTTGTGCCTTCTGTTGATCTCTATAGGTTAAATTAATCTSTGTGTGATTTGAAGGCTAAGGAGGAATGTTTGCTCTTTAGAACCAGAGTGTGCTTATCTTTTGGCTTCATCAAATGCAGGTTCAAGAAAAACAAAAAAAATTACAACTCCTGTGTTTGCCTGGACTACACAGTGAGGCTCTGGGGCAGGAGGGAGGTGGCTGGAGCACCTACCAGGAATGCAGGATCCATCCCTGGACGTGACATAACCCCGYGGGCAGACGCAGAAATAACTTCCCACGGTGTTGGAGCAAACACCWCCCTCACAAATCCCTGGGATGATGCTGCATTCATCAATATCTACACAAAAAGGAAAGGACATGGGATAATTAGCAGAGCACTTGTACATACTGCATTAAAAAGAGGGAAAGAGAGTCTTTCTGAAATTGTTATTCAACTCATGGTGCTTGCATACTGGAAATGGTTTTATTTGCCACCTGTTGGAGGTTTTCCATATACAAGGAACACTTCAAGTCACAGAGCACATGAGAGCAGGCTGAGATTTCCTCTGCATGACACAGACTGACACTTCTGAGCATCACAGGACAGCTGCATGGAATGCCAAAACACACATCCTGCTTTCAGGCCGAAGGAAGAAGGATGGCACAACAGCCAGCCAGAACAGCTCTGGGCGCCCTGCGACCACACAAATACTGGTCAGGAGGTCTGACTKCTTTCTGGCCTCCCAATACTCCAACTGTAAAAAAAAAAATGTTGGACAAATCCTTCAAATGCAAAAACGAACTTTGTGATCCATTCAARTATTTCTGCTGACTGAATGCAGTGGTCTCACCTGAGCACCAAGGTGATTTTGTGCATAAGTACAGATAAAGTGAGATGTCACCAGGCTGATAAATGAATTGCTGTGTGCAACAAGTGGCTGCCAAATTCCAAACCAGTGGTCCAGCAGAGCAAAGCCCACTGGGGCTGTGAATGAGTGAAGTTTAAAGCTGCCAAGTGAAAGGTGCATGATGGAAGTTTTTCACCACCTCTGCAAAGCTTCAGGACACAGACCATCCCTCCCAACTGGCTCCATGCACGGGAGTTTAACACTGTCTAGGGCTCTCATCCAAGAACGACAGGAAGCTGGGAAAGGAAAAAAGCACCTTCCTGAAACCTGGGCAGTGATCAGAGTGGCAGGAAGACTCCAGAGTCTTTTGCATTTGGAGAGAAAAACCAATTAACGTAGAGAACCCTTGTGGAAGAACAATTTATTTAACTTACTGGAATAGCACCAAGCAATTACATTTTTGTTTCTCTGGTTTTTGAGCCAAATCTCTGTCTCTCCTTCCCCTTCCTTGGTTCTTGCATGTGCAATTATTTCAAAATATCTCTATTACCTCTGACTGGAAATTCTGAGACTTCAGCTCAGGAAAGGCTATTTTTAGTGAGGATGATTGAAAAAGTTACTCAATTTCTTCCCTTCCCCCCTCCAAAATACATAAATCAATGGTCTCAGGGAATATGCTCCARAGATAAGTAAGAGGAGATGCACTGTTAAGGGTGAAAAAGGCTGGTAGTATGAATGGYTCCAGTGTTGCACACAGGATGAGACAGCCGGCCTCAACGTGAAAAACAATTTAAGTGTGTGACATGAATTTTGCAGATTTATTAACCAGTGAGTTTCTGCCAAGAAGATCCAGCCTGGCTACCTGCAATTTAGAATTCATTAGGGTTTTATAAATAACTGAGTATCAGAAATGGYGCTCACAACTGCTGAATTCTGGGAATACGGATTTTGGTAATTCAGTTCCTTGAAAATAGTTTTAGTCTAGAAAATAGTACCAGAAAGCAGTAATACCTGGCAGGACCAAGTCTRAATAGCATACGGCCTAATGAAATTGAACACTGAAGCAGAAAAGTCTGAAACAGAACAACTATTCCCTTTAGAAGTTTCTTTGCATTTTGGTACCACTTTTTTTTTGGTTTTGTCTTTTTTTAGGAGTTAGCCTGTTTTATGTAGTCCTAACCTTTTGATGTTAACAATGCATGGTAACATATCTTTTCTTAACTAACTACACTTATTCAAGTATGATGTACATTCTGTTTGAGAAGAGTAAGTAGAGCACATTTATTAGAACCCTGGAACACAATAAGACTCCGCCACTTTTGTAAAGCAGCAAACATAACTGAAAGTTTCTTTCTCTTCTCAGTTTCACTACATATAAAAAAAATCCATCTCTGAACTACACAAAGATGTAAGTTCCGTTAACTCTGGGAAATATGACATCCTAAAAATGAAGAGCATTTAATTCCTAAAARGAGAGTGAAAACTCCATATGCTGTAGATCAAAACTTTTAGGCAAAAAAAAAAAAACAAAACATGAAGAGTTTGGGGTTTTATTTTGTTTAGCCAAGACACCACACTAGTGTACTGGAGATCTGGAATTTGGTGCAATCCCTGTAAGATCTCTTCCAAATTTTCTCAACTCTGTGCCCAATTAGGGCTCATGTGCCTTGAATCCTTCCATGACTTTCCCTGCAATGGAAGTTGTCCCAAACATTGCACAAAGTAAATCCGGAACACAGAAAACTTTTAAATAAAATCACTAATGTGGAGCCCTGAGCCTGGGTTAATTTTTATTTTCCCAAACAGTCTAAGGTACTGAATTACGTTTCTATACATGAGGGCAGACACACATAGTTACACATGCAAATTGTGCTCATGTGCTTTGGAAGTCCTTTTAATACTTTCTACTGACAGGCAATTGCCAATAATTTCAGAATGGTCCATGTTTGCAAACTTCAGTCCAAGGCTCAAAACAAATCCAGAAAGCTGAATATATGCTTTTTGACTGATTCTTGAAAGAGAAAAAAAAATAAAAAGGAAGAAGAAACATGGGACTATAAATCAAGCAAATCCATTATGGTACAAAAAGCATGATATGAACACTCCTACTTACTCAACAAGGGGTATTGTTTCCAGGAAGAATAACAGGAGAAAAAACCCAAACTCACAAAATACATCTGGATGCCCAAGGGCAGAGGGTACAGCAGGGGATCTGAAACCACTCCTTCTTAAGTAGAAAAATTGCTGTTACACTAAAGAAGGTCTGAATAGTTAGTGCAAGATTCCAGACTCTGTCTCTGACCACTGGAGCCTTGATTATTACCAACTCCAACTTGGATTTTGTCCTTTGTAGGCAGTWAATGACAATGGATCTGCTCTTCCATTCCTAAGGAAGGGAAAGGACCGAGCAGAATACTCCACACCACATCATTTTTACACTGTGTGTTGAGACAAAAAACTTCATTTAAATRATGCAGTTTCTATTTAATAATTTTTCTGTAAAGAGATTCTAACTCACGGGACACCAATTTTTTTACATCCTTCCCAATGGCCTGATCCCTATACACAGATACAATTATACAGATATATACAAAAATRATGATGCAACTTCACTCAAATTACCAGTCTTACTAACTGAAAGTGCAATTGTTTGAAGGACTGGCTACAGTTCTAYCCTATAAATTTAACCATGAGAGATTATGAACACTCAGTTAAGGATACAAATAAAAAAAGCCTGAATGAAACTATGGCTTATCTTTCACCGTTAGAATAATGTAAGCATGGTATCGCCCTGGTATAATTTTGGCTTTACCACCTCAGCTGTGAAGTTTCACAATGCCTTTATTCCCTAGAAAAGATGGTACAAACTGTGAGGAGAGGGTTGTTATTTGCCTAATTCCCTGTGRAGAATTATCTGACCAGGGGCTAATTAGTACTTAACTTCTGCCATGAACACAAGTGGCAGGAGCTTAGAAGAAAAAAAGCTGGAGAATGATCTGTTTTGGAGCAGCCTGCTCCATGAAACGAAGACCTGTTTATCAGTGAAACCGTGGAATAACAGCAAACACCTCRGACTGCACTTCTGTTGTGCATGGTCCCAGAAGTACCACAGGTTTTTAAAAAGATCTGCGTTAAAATTACATTCACCTTTTGCTGTGGATGCTGTCRAGGGGAACTGCTGAATAACATTTTCAACAATTAAAGCTTCAGAGAGTTTAAAGTAGAATGCAAAGACTGCTTTAAGTACTGTTTTCAGAAGAAAATGAAACTTGTCTCTTTATAAGTTATTTTGGCATGAAAGAACCTTTAAGAGAATCCAAAAAAACAAAACGCACTTCCAACAAGGATGGATTATAAGCAGGGATAGACACACAAGAGCTGCCTCTGAGAAAGTCAGAAACAGGTTGAGATTCGCTGGGTAAGAATCAAGGACTAGACCAATAAAGGACATCTTGTATTTGGGGTCTGCTTGAGCCATCTCCAGGAAGGTCTGGAAGAAATGATTTGTGTAGAAAGGCAATGTAAAGATCTTTCCTTCTTTCTTCCTTTCTTCTTTTTTAAATTTTTTTTTTATTTTTATTTTTTCCTTTCTTTTCTTTTTCTTTCTTTCTCTTTCTCTCTTTCATTCTTCCCTCTCCTTCCATCTCTCTCCCTCTCTTTCACCCTACCCTTTATTTCACATTCAACCCCCATGTGCTGACACCAGGAAAACAGGGACAAATATTCCAATTTCCATGCTATAAGTATGATTTCTAACACAGCTTTTTAATAAGTTTYCATGGAACTTCCGACTATCACTATTCCTTTTCAGCCACGAGTATCTACACATGAGTTTTTTTCCTTTCAGGTAGTGAGTAGAAATTACAATCAGTCAACACAAAACAAACCACAGAAAAACAGAAGAAGGAAGAGGGCAAAACCAGAGAAAAAGACCTTCAGATTGTTTTTTTAAATTTTTACTTAGACATTACCTGAGGCAACACCAGAAGCAACATTTTCATTTATAAAACATGATTTTTAAACTGACTATACTACTTAATTTTTCTGTAAATGTTGTATTGTATGCAAAATTAAGCAAAACTGAGGGGACTTCCAAAACTGGCTACAGTTTGTTTGTAACTGAATACTGAGTATCATGGAATTCGGGACCATAAATAAATTGCCAGCTAATCACAAGCCAAAGGCTTGAAGAATGAAGTCCTCTAATCAAAACAACTTGAATGTAAAACACTCACTGGCTGGGATGAAGCCTGAGAGTTCTCATTTCTTTCAAAGACATGAAAAAGTCACTGAAACCAGTGAAGTTTTCAGCATCCCACAAAAACTCAGCAATTTTATATCACATGATTTTAAACTATAAGGAATTGCTGCTCTTAATTGCATCAACATGTTTAGTGAATAAACACAGTCTGTATTTATTAAACTACACTTACTAAAAATGGTCTATTTAATTTTTCATCTTAAAGAGAAGGGCATTTCCTTGGTACTTTTCACTTAYCCAGAGTCATCAAAATTGCCTCATTTGCTTTTCACTCTGTAGTCACTAGGCCAAAAATACCTACTTGAACTAGAGTATCTTTCAGAAAACAAAGAAAATCCTAATAACTCAGCAGCAATTTTATGTTGCTCAAAACATAAAGTCTTTACCAGTAGTTCTACTTTTTCAAAGGGAACAAAGACTGTTTTTACACACAAGAGTCAGACAGGGAAAAAGCATCTAATGCAAAATATGAACTCCCAAATAGAAGCTTCGGATACTGCAAAGCAGAAACAAAAAGTACAGTTCAGTGATGTCATGCCTGTCCATATCAGACACTACAATTATTAAAGTACTTAATAATGTTCATTACTGAAGTGCTCTAATGCTCTGCATAACCACKTTTTAGGTATGTTCTCCTTCAACATCACTTACCATCACATTTTTGAGTTGCCTCATTCTGTTTGTGGCCAACAGGACACTTGCACTCGTAAGAACCTACTGAATTAATGCAGTTTCCTCCTTGGCAGACTCCAGGGATAGCCTGGCACTCATCAACATCTGCAAACACAAAAAAAAGACCCAAATCTGATTACCTGACATAAGATACACAACTTTCAGTTACTTCAGTTAACTTTCAGTAACTTCCTGTTGTGCTTCACTAAGTGCTACTTACTGTTATTATGAATATATACAATATGAATACATACAATATGACTACATACAATATGAATATACTAGTGAACATATACAATATTCAGACTTCAAATTGTGGTGGGTTTCTTTTTTTGTTCCTAGTTTCAATTTGGTTACACATAAACCACCCTGTGTTTCTGTAGGTTTTTATATAAAACTGTCCAGGAGGAGATACGTCTCCTGGTTGGCCTCCTTAGTACCTGTGTACCATGAAGTTATCATCCAGGTGTTTCAGGAACCTTCTGGACCTGTTTTTTCCAGCTGTGTAGTGCTCCCAGGCAACATTTGCTCACAGGCAAGAACAAAAAATTCTTTTTCAGGAGGATGATTGTTACCTCGAARCCCACATAGGGCACTGAAATTCCACCTGAGCTGGTGGATTTACACAGTTTTTATTCATCCTAGTGCTCGTGCTACAGACAAACCTGTGATATTTGCCTTGTCCATTCGCCAGCTTTTCCACTTAAGCAAGTACAATTTCTCAGTCAAGGAAGACAGAAAGCAGTTTTATTGTGGCTTTTTTACCACTGGACGTGGGCTTAAGTACATTTGCTGAGAAGTTTGCATTTAGTTCCTGAATTCATGCTGATTTAGCCAGCACAGTACCATGTCCAAAATGCAACAGTTAGATTGAAAATGGATTAAGGACTTTAACGAAGTCATGGACTTCCTTAATTTTKTTTCCTTCTAAATAACCAGTGCTTGATGCTGCTTGTTTATGTGGCTATCAAGCATTTAATCTCTCAAGTATTTTAAGGAGTGGGGGGTTGGACTGTGCAATCTCCAGAGATTCCTCCCAACCCTAATTATTCTGTGATTCTGTGAATTTTGAAGTGATTTAGCAATATCAAGAGAGAAGATGGTTCCACCAATTATTGATACACAGCCCACCCAGTAGCTTCTTCCTGGGTAAAACACATGGTGCTTGTCTTCTGACCCTGGGGCCTCAAAATGCATTTATCACACACAATATGCYTGTTATTTCTGTCACTTATTACCACTTAATTTTAAGTTTCCTGTGTCAGCAGATCAGCCGTTAAAAGACCAGTGTATCTGACACAGTTTTAGAAGTCGAAGATGTCGAGGAATAGTGAATTGATGGCAGCAGCAGCAGGCAATGAACAACTCCCAGAAACCGAAAAAGTATCACTCAAGCCCCAAGGTGAACTAAACTTTAATCTCTATTGGTTTCATCCATTTCTTTCACCCTTTTTAAAAAGGAAAATAGATGTTGATCTTTGCTGAAGCCTAAGAAGCCAATCCCAATGATGCAAAGCATCCTGTCCAGTAAAGGAAACACAAACAGTGCCACTATGAAAGGTGAAACCTTTGAATCACATGCACTCTCTTCCTTTTCTCTAATATTGCATACTACCTTTCCTACATAATATTTAAATGTAAAGAAAGCAAGCATTTTCAACTTTAATCTTAGCCTAAAAATGTAATCACACTACAAGACTGATTGGGGATWTTCGTCAGTATAACCTCTTGCTGAAAATCCAAGTTTGTTTTAATACATTATTGGTGTTTTGGGACTGAGAAAAGTCAAAAATAACAGAAGTATTTTATTRAAAGGGCTTTTATCAATTGCTTCCTAAATGTCATTTTAGGGGACAAGAACTTCTTTTCTTCTAAAAATATGAGCAAATAGAAATGAAGCATATTTTTTTTCCATATMTTTGACAGGCTAAACCACACAGCAGTTTTAGCATTATTAATTATCKTACTCACACTTTTCAACTTCAAACATATTAGCACAAGAAGCTTTTTACCATAAATAGCAAATTTGATTAATAATTCCTTAGATACCGTTCTGTATACAAAAGTTCAATATGCTATAGATTAAGTAGAATGTTTCCATGTGTTCATAGTCTAATACTTGGTAAGTGAAAAAAGATTTTGTGCTTTTGCAGAATTTTCTCTGCAAAATGCCTGTGGGATTTGCACAGCTAGCTTTAAACATGCACCTTCCCTTTCTGATCCATGGGCTGTTTCTCAAAAAAACTCTGAAAACCCAAAAAGCTCAGGAAAAATAAAGCCACTAGGATGTTAGACACAAATTTTGGGGAGKTTTTTTTCATTTACTATGTGAATAATGACAAATTATACAAATAAAAATAATCTCTTAAATTCTGCCTGGAATATGTATGGGGAGTTTCTGTGTAAGTGATTTGGCATGTGTGAACTAAAAGGTGAATTAGTCATGAATACAATGGAAAACTCTTGGTTCTTCCTCTGTATCCTAGAAAACAGAAATACTACACACCACAGARATAATACCAAGCTATTTTTTCCCTGTTTTAATAACTATTTTCATGACATCAGGATGTGATCCTGGATGACACTGTTAACATTATCAGTAACTCAGACATATTAATTCCAAGCACTAGATTACAAAAAAAAAAAATCATCACTCTTTATTGTGAACTTGAACCTTCATCTCTCTCCTCTCCCTTGTCCAGCTCACATCAGTGCCTTTAATATTTAGACAGAGTATTCCTACTTTTTTTTTTTGGTGGGGTATTATGTCCTGTACTAGCTACACACACTTAACCAGGCCAGCAATAGCYGCAGGAAGAAGAACCTTCCTACTTTCAAAATCTACTCAGCCATGACCACTTTTCTCTCCTTAGAGCCAAAAATTAACTGTCTGCAAGGAAAGGGTGTAGGTGGGAAATAAGGAATGCAGGGAGGAGCTGAGAAAATGTCCAAGACAGGATTTCTGCCATTATGCTGCTCCTCAGGCTGTGGAGCAGTGGCAATAAAGTTCATTCAGGCGGAACACTGAAGTTCCTCCTGCCTGAATTCTTGGAATGAAGGATGTCTGAACAGCTACAATTCCTGTTTAAGACATGACTGAATAGAAACTTCTGAGGAAAAAAAAAGATGAAATACAACCAAACAATTTGAATTTTGAGTGGTTTTGCTTCTCTTAAATGGTTTTAAAACTGTTCACGGTAATAATGAAGTAACAGCATTACTATGGTGTTGCATGAAAGAACATTATCCAGAAAATATGATTAACCCTCAAAAGATGCTAAAATACCATTTAAGATGGCATCATGCAAATCCTGGGAAGAGTAGGAACAACCTTCTATTTGGGAGTTACCTCTTTGTTAAACTGAGACATCTAATACATACTGAAATTCCACCCCTTTTCCAACAGTAGGATTTGCAAGTTCCACTGATTTTGAATTGTTCACACCAACTCCAAAACCTGGCTATATACTGATGTAAGCATTCACTTCAAAAATTACAAACACCTACAATATGGACTGAGTGAGCCTGGTGTAATTGATACAAAACAAAGGTATTTTTACTGAATACCAAAGCATTTTGTGCTCCTCTAATTCAAGTCTCAGTAAATCTAACACTCTCAACAGCAAGAAAAATATTGAAAAGCAGGACAGACCCCCTCTATTTGTTTCAAAAACCCTCAGAGGAAACATTTTGTTTCATCTGACCTTTCTATGTCAGAGCACCAGAACAGGCTGCCCAGGGAGGTCTGGAGACATTTTAASCCTCCATGGACATAGCTGCATGTCATCTGCTTTGGGTGACTCTTGCCTTGGCAGGGGGTTGGACTCGATGATGTCCAGAGTCCCTTCCAACCCCAGCCATTCTGAGATTCTGTGACCTTATTTCAACAGACTCTACTGCAATACCGACTTGGGAAAGGCAGGAAGTGTCACAGCCAGTCCCTYCCTGCATCAAAGTGTCCTGCTAATTTGTAACAGAGCAGACACCATGATACCAACCTGTTCACACCACAGAGCTYAGATCAGGAGGAGTTACCAGTATGCAGAGCTGAAAAGAAAAGCCTCTCAATTGCTGTAAGTAAAGATAATGATTCAATAAAATAAATAAATTATGTCTCTCCCCTGAAGAAAGGCCTCCGTGCTTGCCATCACCTTGTAAYGCTGTGTGCTAAACCCAACCAACATAAATACAACCCGAGCTTCCTATTTAGCAACTATATGTCAAAAAATGTAGCAAAAATTACAGCTGTTTAAACTTCCTTTGTTTATGCTTCTCACTAAGTAGACTACCACATTGTTTCCACGCTCCCCAGTGGAATTTAGCAATGTGGTTAAACGGGTAACTTAAACCTATTTGCCACAGGGAATATACTGTCAGAAAAAGAAAACACAATTGTTGTGGGCACGGGTGCTGAAGAGCACCACCAACCTCACACATAATTCAAATGAAGCCCCTGAAGCTATGCCAGGATCAGTCTGGCAGCAGTTTCAAGGACCCTTTATAACTGGCCAAGTCATACAATGGAGCTTGACTTGGAGGTTGCAACATGCACCCCTTCTGTAACGCTCTTATTCATTATGCTGTTATGAAAAGAGTGTCTAAAACACATTAATCACTTCAAGATGAACAGCAAAAATAAACTGCTGCACACAGGAAGAGGCCCATCTCTGACATATAAGGAAAAGTGACATCAAATATTTTTCCTTAATACTGATTTATAATCACATTTTCCAGGCACTAAAGTTTGCATGTACACCAGCAAAAATCTGGAGGCAGCAGTGCRCACCCAGATTTGATCCTAAGACAGGGACCACACACAAGGAAAACAATGATGTTGTTTTGAGGACACTGCAAGTTCTCCAAGGTGTTTCTGCCAGGCACAGAGCAGCCAGGCACAGCTGCTGCCCRAGACTCACCTTGGCAGGCACCGGTGCGGATGTTGGGGATGAAACCGCGGCGGCAGGGCTGGGGCTGGGCTGGGCACATCTCGCAGGGGTGGCCCCAGGCACGCCCCATGGTGGCACAGCACAGGGACTTGGTGCACACAATCCCCGTCAGCTGGCCCTGGCACATTTGATTGTTCACCTGGGTGAAACATGGGCCTGTCCTGTAATCTGGGAGGGAGAAAAAAAGAAAAATTTGCTTTAYTACACAAAGTACTTTACTGGTAACTATAGAAGAAGTTTTTTATTCAGTGTTAAGAAAATTCTGTGGAAATTTAAGCTTTTTTTCATCTAATGATTTTCACGAGTCTATCTTCTCAATTTATTTCTTCCTGACAGATACAAGAAAATGAAAGGCAGCTGTAAACAAAACTGTTCTTGAGTATTGACAATGCATCCAGTAAAATCCACAGAAAGCAGAAGAGTAAACTCGTAAATAAAAGAGCAGATCAGATTTAGCAAACAAGGACTGGAAACCGGTTTTCTTGTTCCTAAGCTATTTCATGGTGGTTCATGGCAGGTAGTACAGACCACAGCAGCTGCAAAATTTTCCATTCCACATTGATCAAGATCCATTCCAGAGAGTGTCACAGAATCTTCACTGCTGCTGGAATGCCTATTGCAAAATAGTGCTACCTGCAGAGGACCACTTGGCAAACCATCGCTTATTTTCAGAGGAATACCATGAGACGATACAACCTATCCAAGCTATATGCAATACACTGAATAAAGCACAGAAACTATATGAAAAAAACCCCACTTTTGACAAAATTCCTGTGAATAGTCTGCTCATTAAGGTTCAACCTGCATAAAGAGAATTTTTTTTTATGTTATGAGTCAATACAAAGTGTGTTCAACAATTAACTGAAATTCTCTAGGAATTAACAAGAAACAGATGGTTGCTCTAAGCCAGATTTCACATCCTTGTGGAAACTCCTAAGAGTGAGGGGATAGAAAGAAGAAAATGCTCTCACTCARACTCAGCCACATGAAAGAAGGAACAACAGTGGGGTTATGGCTGCTCCAGCTGCCACTCCATTCTCTTTTTTTCCTATCAAAAGCACAACCTAATACCAATATGTGGGTCACATACTGTCTTCCRCACACTTTCATTACGGTGCAGCTGGTCTCACAACCAAGCTGCAAATGGGACAGCCCTGGCCTTCTATAACCTGATCCTATCACCCTGAAGAAATAAGAACTKTGACTTCTTTGGAAAGGGAGAAAATGGTCTTCCCAATGAGAGGTTATACAAAGCTTTCAGGACTCCTAAAGTAAAAGCTCAAATGGAAATAAATGTTCTGCTTCTTATCTTCGGTGAGAGTGACYCAGGTATCAGTCCAGGAAACACTTTCACAGAATTATTTATACACACCGGTTGTCAATTTCAGCTGGGCTGTTCACTTTAAATGAAGTTAACTAAGTACACAGGTGTCCACAACAGAAATGCYTGACAATAAAGGGAGATTAAAATACCTTAAATATTCAGTCAGGCCTGGGAATTTTAGTATTTTTTAATTTTCAATACAAAATAGTCTTAGAAGTTAYATTTTGAGCTTCCTCATTAAGCCACAAAAATAGCACTTTGAGTAAAATAAATACATTATAAAAAGAAAATCCTGTCCTGTCTCCATACCATCACATGGAGTTAAGTTCTCCATGGGGGAATGCCTTCTGTAGTGAAATAAWATAATGATTTACTACACATCTTCAAATTTCCAAAACTTGACAATTGTGATATCCCAACTCACTTTGCAATTCCTATTCAGAAAATAAGTAGTTCTGCTGGAAAGTATTCTATTTTTATAGCAGAAGTTCTCCACATTTCACTTTTTATAGATCAGTCTTTGGATATCAGGAAGCACTCGCAGTAGGAATAGAAGTTCAAACTATGAAYTTCTCTGTACAATGGCTGGTGACCCAAAGGACTATTCTGGCCAAAGATATACCATGTTGAGTGCTTGGAATTCAATCAGAGAAAATCAAACTCGGAACTCAAACTGGAGTTGTGAATTGTGTTTAAGTTCCATTACCTTCCCATGAGACACAAGATGATCTGTGTAAACCCTGTCAAACCTAGCAATGAAAATTTTCACTTAGAGAGTGCTCAAAAGGAAGATCAGAGAATACAATCAGACACCAAAGCATGTTTAGTCAAGAGAATACGAATGAGTCAGGTACCAACAATCAGAGAATGCATAAATCTAATGCTCAGGTTCTGTAACCAAGCAACATCCATCGGCATAAGCCTGCAGCATGGTATCTATTCAGAAACATGTTTTATAATAATATTAGTATTTTAAAATGCTACTATAATTTAAAATATTATCCATGAAAAGTGTACCCATTTTAAGAACTGTTATTTGTTCCGTTTATTAAACATGAAGCCCAAAGGCAAAGAGACTGATTACAGGATGTTCTTCTACAATAAGAGGAAAAGATAAGATTTCAAAATACAAAGTGAAGACAAGCATGTTCCAGTTAATGGTAAAGTTCAGTTATTTACACGAAGATCTGTAGTCACACAGTAAATTTTTACCTGAGGAAAGCAAACTCAGTAAAAGTTGATGCTATTTTGAAACTACTTTGTAGCTTCAAATGAAGCTGTGGATTTTTTTCAGGAATTGTTTCACAGAGGCAGTCAGACTATATTACTATAATGGTTGATCAGACCTTGAAAACTCCCATTTATGAATCAACCATACTTTCCATGTGGGTTTGCTTGTCTTGTTCTTAGGTGTTTCTTCATTTGTTCCTTTGCCAGCACTGCTGATGGAATACTTTTGCCAGAAACAACATATGTTGAACATAAGTTATAAATTATTTCGTTTCTCTAGAAAGGGTAACTGCTGTAGTGAAAKAAAGTGATCTTCAGCACATGTGTGTTATACAGTTTCTTTTTAACTTCAGAAAATTAAATTCAATATGCCCCATGACTCGAAGAATGACASTGTTTATGAACTTGTTAATATAATTAAATTTAATAAGCAGTACTTTTCTCCTGGCATCAAGAAAAAGAAATCAAACCATGAACTTCTAAATTTAACTATGCTGCACTATTTCTATTCTGTCATGAAAGTACGTGTTTTGTATTCTCAAATGGGACAATTCAGCTATAAAAATTCTTGGGATTTTTTTTTCATAAATTCTTAAAAAAAAAAAAAAAAAAAAAAAAAAAAAAAAAAAAAAAAAAAAAAAAAAAAAAAAAGAGGCTAGTTGACAGAAGCCTGAGACAAGAAATAGCAATGGTAAGAATTCTAGTCTTGGGTATGGTCCAGTATCCATCTATTTGAGTTTTCTTCCTGTACCTCTGGCCAAACCAATGATTGAGATACAGGTGTAAAAAACCTGCTAAAAATAGATATCGAATAGTCTGTCTGCCACATGTCCTCTGTGTCTGACATCCACCAGCTACAAGCCTGAAATATAATGTTTAACATCCCAGCTACCACCTGACCTCATTCAGGACAAAACATTAAAATGTTTTGGTACACGTATGTAAGGATCCAATTTCTGTCTCAATTTTGTCACRACTCCACCCAATAAAAATTTCATCTCTTCTAAGGTAATATAAAAAAGTGAGGCATGAAGTAAAAAAGTAACTTCATGTGTTGGAATGTCCATTGCAAGTTATCTGTAAGGATATTAACATTTGAGTTTCTTTAAATGGGAAAGCACAGACTGAAATTTTAAATGAAGGCTTCCAAAACCAAAATACTGCTCCTCTGTGAAGTCCAGCAGAGCTGGAGTGKCAGTCTCCTGCACCCAGCCTGCAGAATGGGAAAGCACATTGTCACAAATACCATATTTCATCTCTGTGAGCACTCAGAATATTAGCAGGAAGGAATTATGAAATACCATCCCTCATTTTTATTTAAACARAACCCTACTGAACCATAACTAAACAAGGAAGCAATGCATGTGAAAACAAGCATTTTTGACTAGAAGCTACTTAGAAGATGGACACTTCTATTACTAAAAACAAAATACTGAAGATATTAAGCATAATAATAAGTATGAATCACATCAGGAGTGAGTAAAGGAGGGTGTCTGAGACAGACCACTATCAATTAAAGAACAAGACCTTCATAAATGTGTTTCACTTCATTTTAAAGCACACATGCCTTTCACAGACTTTTTACAGGACCACATTCGCCTAAGACTTAGGCAATATTAAGGAATAAATGAGAAAATAAGTAATTTCAACTTCTCACTTGCATGCTCAAGTGCAGCAAATAGTTCATTGTTATTATTATTATTATTATTATTATTATTATTATTATTATTACCTCAAAAATACATTTCATACATCAGTCTTATTATATAAACAACCTAATACATGGGACTTTGAATACTGAAAAGAAGTAAATGCTGTCAGCATTACCAGGAACTCCACTCTCTTCTGAAAGAAAACTTAGCACAGTGGGTGAAAGTCCAAGAGACTGGACCCTGTGTCAGGGAACCTTCAGAAGGAAGACATTAAGTCAACATTGGCAAAGACCTATGTTAAATTCACCTTTTTAGAAGATACTCCAGCAGGAAACAAGATGGAGAAACTCTTTATTACAACTGTGATAGGTGCCAAATTTCCCTGTAATTTCTGCCAACACTCTGAGGGCTCCAACCATCTGAAATTTTTTTTGGCTSCTTGTTGCAGAACCTGCCTGTTGATTACTGATGAGATTTTTCAGTGAAACTCTCTGAATTTTCCCCTTTGCAATGTGAAATCTTAGTATTTTGATAAAAGTGTAGTTGAGCTCTGTCTCAATGAATGAGAAAAAAAAAAAAAATAAAATATATATGTATTTATATGGTATACCATGGGATCAGCAGGACTGGAAGAACAAGGCATGCCCARTTCTCCCACTGATTCTGTACAAATGACAGCATTGCCCAGACCTGGTGTTTCCAAAGAAAAGGAGATCAGGGTTTCCTTGGTGAACTTTTCATCTGAGTATCAAAGGGCTGGGAATATTCGTAACTATCCTCAGGTTCGGAGCACAAATCTGAAATTCATGCATATGTAAATATTATCCTTCTTACTCAACTCCAACATCTGCAGATCATAATTCACAGCAATGCAAAAAGCTATTTAAACATTATACAAGTCCATATGTTTATTAAAAGTTATCTAAAATTTATGTTCTTTTAGTATTTTGATCAACTTTACA